GTAACGATGATGGCTTGCGGGCATCTTACAATATCTCATTACTTATAGCAAAATCTGGAAAACCGCACACTATCGGAGAACAATTAATTTTACCCGCTGTTGAAGAGGTTTTAAAAACTGTTTTGCACAAATCTCCATTTGACGTACTAAAAAGAATTCCATTAAGTAACAATACTGTACAAAGACGCATTGATGAAATGAGCTCTGATATCGAAAGCTTTTTGTGCAATCATCTGCAAAAAACTCATTTTTCTATACAACTGGACGAGTCAACGTTACCCAGTAATGAAGCATTACTATTGGCATATGTCCGATTTATTGTTGAGGAAGAAATTCACGAAGAATTGCTATTTGCCAGAACTTTGGAGACTGACACTAAAGGCGAATCAATATTTAATGTCCTGAGTAATTTTTTTACGGAAAAATCGATCCCATTTACAAACATTATTTCAGTGGCAACAGACGGAGCTCCTGCAATGGTCGGGCGATATCGTGGGTTTATAAGTCATCTCAAAAGAATTATACCAGGACTTACAGCTATTCATTGCGTAATCCACCGACAACATCTTGTGGCAAAACATTTAAGTGACAGGTTGAACCAATCTCTTCATTTTGTAATAAAAGCTGTCAACAAAATCAGAAGCAATGCATTGAATACGCGTTTATTTGCTCAATTGTGCGACGAAAATGATGAAGACTTCCAACGACTGCTCTTACATACTGAAGTACGCTGGTTGTCGAAAGGTGCATGCTTAACGAGATTTTACTCTGTTTTCGATTCCATATTAGAGTTCTTAGAAAGTAGAGATCCAGATTTAAAAGAAAACTTGATCAAATTCAAAGCAGACATTGCGTATTTGACAGATTTGTTTAAAAAATTTAATGATATTAACTTGCAGTTACAAGGGGACAGCCTGAATTTAATAAAAACAAAGGGGATAATTTCGGCTTTTCTTGGGAAATTGAAATTTATGAAGCAAAACATTAGTCGGCGCGAATTCTCTCAATTTCCAAACTTGTCGCAGGTAGAATGTATTGATGAGGATATCCATACCTACAGTCAACATTTAAGTGCTCTGCATGATGACTTCAAAACCAGGTTTGAAGATATACTGACGATGGATATACCACCATGGATCATAAATCCATTTGATGAAACGGAAGTGGCCAATGTTGTATTACAAGAGGAGCTGCTCGAGCTAAGCACTAATGAGGAGCTGAAGGTGAAATTTAGAAAAGGCTACCCAACATTTTGGCTGCAAGCAGAAATACCCGAAAAATATCCTGGACTGTGGGAAATCGCAAGGAAATTTTTAATAGCTTTTCCCTCGTCATACCTTGTCGAAAGGAGTTTTAGTGCCGTTACAAACCTCTTAACAAAAAAAGGAGCAAATTAAACATCACAGAGCGGGGGATTTGCGGTTATTGCTCACAAAAATAAAGCCAAACATTGATCGTTTGCTGACACTCCATCAGATACATCCTTCCCATTAATTAAAATTATGACCTGAACCTATATTACCTTAATATTTTTCTTGTAATTCTATTCTTTTAATAAATAAAGTGATATAAAATGTACCATTTTTCGTTTTTATTTTACATATCGGAATATAGGGACAGAACTCAGAAGTGACACAATTTTTATTTTTTGGCGACTTTAAGAATGTGGTAGAAATGTAGCAGCAGGGGGTCCACCGAAACCAGTAAAATTTTGAAAGTGGTCCACGAGAAAAATAAGTTTGGGAACTACTGCTCTAGTTCCTTTAGGTCCGGATCCGATAACATACGGCATATGGCTGGCACTCCCCACTCCTGCCTAGCATCGACCGCGCTGCGCGCTGGCCCGATTCGTTCGTACGTAAACTAGTAAAACTAGTCTTTTATTTAGTTTAGTTCCTCTATGTCCGGATCCGATAACGTACGGCTGGCACTCCCCACTCCTGCCTACCATCGGGCTACGCGCGCTAGCCGATCCGTCGCCATCGCATATTATTCTATATCGGTCACAGTCTCGATCCCGGAACAGGTTCTGAGGAACTAGTTCTTTGAGAAACCAGGAACTAGTTCCTATCATTCCGGGGTCGGAATATGTAGTTCATTGGAACTAGTTCGTTCACGAACTACACACCTCTACGGGGACATACTGTATATTAAAAAAGTGTCATCATGTTGTTGATAATAGCAAAGCTGTCTATAATAAATCAGTTCTCCCACCTATTAACAGTTATTGAGGCATTTGCGGTGATAGAATTCATTAGTATATAATCATTAGTGATAGAATAACTCGAGTGAAAATTCGCTCGAGTACTCGATTATTGAAATAACCGACATCACTCGATTATGAACGCAAGCGATCCTAGAATAAGATAAATTGAAATCCGATTTTAATGTGACATACTCAATAAGAAGCGCAGCGAATTTTTACATTGCAGGTAGCAAATTTATACGACGTTATCTGTTGCGTATCTGAGTAACAAAATTTTACAACCTACATTGACAATGCTTTGAAATAAACTAAACATAAACTAAATCAAGCGAATTACTCGTCGCTCGTTGCTTGCTACTTGCAATTGATCACCGAAAGAATATGTGCTCGGCACACGCAACTTACTGCTTAGCGTTACGAGTACAAAAAGCCATGGGCAAAAAACCGTATTTTTAAATATGAGCGATATTTCGTTCGAGCGAACGCTCGATTATTGAAATCGCTTGAAACTCGAGTACTGGATTATTTAAATTAGTCCCATCATCAGTTTTTCCCATCACTATACAGGGTGGTCCGAACTGTATTCCGGAAACTTCGGCAGCATATTCTGCAGATAAAAATAAGTAAAAAAGTTCGTATAAATGTATGTCCTAAAATGCTTATTTTCGGAGATACAGGGTGTAGAAGTTTCATTTTTAGTTCGATTTTTTCCAAATAATTTCTGAAGTAAAGTCAATATTTGAATGAAAATTGGTGTCTGGGAGTTTTTTGACATGAGAAATTTGATTTTGATGTCAATATGGCTCCTACTAGTAGAGGGCGCCACCTACACATTTTTTAACCGGTTTGAAGAGTAATAACTTGTTGTCCGTACCTGTATATAACTACTGAGTAAAAAAATATACATTTACGACATTTTTTTACGTAAAAAGGGTCTCTTGGTAAAAATCGCTACGAGTAATGGTTTTGGAGATATTTGGAATTGAAATTATCAATACCTGTCATCATTGACATTAATTAAACATATTGACTAAATAGTTAGTAGACTGAAATCATAAATTTGAAATATTTTTGTGCCAAAAGTTCAACAGAAACTGTTTTATCATCATTTTTTGCAGAAAAATTTATGATTAATTTAAAAAAAATAAAAATTTCCTAAATTTATTATTTCAGTGATCTATCAACCTATCTACTCAACGTGTTTATTTTTCGCCAATAATGACATGTATTGACTATTCCCATTCTAAATATCTTAAGAACGGTTGCTCGTAGCGATTTTTATAAAGAGATATTTTTTTAGTCGGTAGTTTTATACAGGTACAGACAAAAAGCTATTACGACTCAAAACAGTTAAAACACATGTAGGTGGCGCCCTCTACTGGTAGGAGTCATATTGACATCAAAATCAAATTTCTCATGTCACAAAACTCCCAGACACCAATTTTCATCCAAATATAGACGTTACTTCAGAAATTATTTGGAAAAAATTGAAATAAAAGTGAAACTTCTACACCCTGTATCTCTGAAATTAAGCATTTTGGGATGTACATTTATACGATTTTTTTTGTTATTTTTATCTGCAGAATAAGGTGCAGAAGTTTCCGGAATACAATTCGGACCACCCTGTATATCACTGCCGAATTTTTCACAGGAAGAAGGTTTGAAGCTAGTCCAAGTTAGTATACCCTATATAATCAAATAACCACTAAGTAAAGGAGTATTCGAAAATATTTATCCCAGCCTTCCCCCAAAAAATTGTACCTACAGTTATTTATTTTTAAACAGGTAGTATAAACTATACACTTCATTTTCTTTATATTTTAGTAACCGTAGTTTAGTAATATACTTATTACGTTTATGCTAAATTTCTATTTTGAATTATTCAACGAGCCAATCACCTGTAGGTATTTTAGAGAAAAATAAAAAGAAAACTTAAATGCATTAAAATACCATTTGCAACTTAAAAGTGCAATAAATTTTAAACGCAAAATAAAACTAAGCCCCTTTCTATTGCGCTTTCTACCAGCTAAAGTGCTTGTATGTCCTTGAGGGCCATCTCGTAAATTTCAGCCGCTTTTAAAGCGACATTTTTATTTATTTGCCATAAAATACGGAAAGCACCTATATCCGGTTTATATAATATTATTATTGCTCTTTTATATTTATAGCAAATTTACCACTCTTGTCATCGTTTAAATAATCCAATGTAGACTTAGGCTAAGTCGCGGTTAAGCTTTATTTTAGCCGAAATCGCTTAAAATAATTCAACAAAACATCCAGTCTTCTATACCGGGTGCGGCTCACCCCCTATACCTTTTTTATTATTTCGGATAACAAAACAAGATTTGCTGTGTTAGTATATGACATAAATTAGGACTGACTGATGCATTTAATTGTTTTTGGTCACTTCCTTTTTCACCGGAAATAACTACAACTTTTGATTTTTAAATAACACCCTTAGTATTTTTTACTCTATTCAATAGAAAATGACACGCTGAATAGAATGACATATCATATGTCAAGTTTTGACATTTTCGCATATGATTTATTTGAAATTGTAACATGCGGTTCATAACGACAATTTGACTCGAAATGCCAAGTGTGTGGTACCAAATTATTCATAAAAAATAGTTTTTCCAAAAAAATGCTAATGAGCCACCCTTGTTCCATTTAAAAAAAAATTGAGATATGATTAAAAATACGGTTTGGGCATCTTTTAGCCGGCCAGAACAAGACACGAAAAAGACATCTCTAATCTAATGTATTAAATATTAACATTTTATTTTTTTTTCAGTACCGCCCAGTATTATCGACAAGGAAACTAGTTCGGATATGGTTGTGCTAGAATCCACCAATGTCAGTTTGACTTGTAAGGCTACAGGATATCCGGAACCTTATGTGATGTGGCGCAGAGAAGATGGAGATGATATCCGCTATAACGGAGAACATGGTAAGAACTAGTTTCATTTAGTAAAATCTGTTATGACAATCGGTCACTCATAGTATCAAGTGTTATGAAAAAATATTATATTAAAATTTTCGAGAAATAATGTTCACGAAATATAACATATTTTGAACAGTTCACCAGAATCAGTGTAGTATATACTTAATGACAAAAAAAGCAGAACATCTAAATTATATACCGCGTATTTCTCAAAAATGGCTCGTTTCTGCATTTTTTTTATTTTTTCATATAGAAAAACGAGTTATGGTACGTTAGTATATGACATAAATCAGGATTGAATCTTTATTCGATAGAATAGGACACTGAATCAAAAGACATATTATGTTGACTTACGACATTTTAGCATATGTTATATTTGAAATTGCAACATGGTGTTTATAACGACAATTTGACTCGAAACACCAATTGTGTGGTACCAAGTAATTCGTAAAAAATGATTTTTCCTAATATGCTACTGACCCATCCTCTTTCCATTTTAAAAATTAAAACCTATTTTTTTGAAGGCTCCTTGATTCAAAATTAGTGTTTTTAAGACTGTTGTTTTAAACTAATTTCCACAAATAAGACCAAATGCATGACCATTACAAAGGAGCCTCTACGGTGCAAATTGGTAATAAAAAACAATACTATTGATCAGATAATGTCATTCGAGTACCTCGGATGCAAAATTACAAGCTCAGGATTCCTGGAAGAAGAAGTAAGGAAACAAGCCAATAAAGCTGCCGCAATATCAGGACATCTTAAATATCCCATATGGAAAAACAAACATTTGAGTACAGAATGTAAGTCAAGAATATACAAAACCTGCATACGACCAGTGATGACATATGCTAAACCAGAGCTGAAACATCAGTAACAAAGAGAATCCTACGAACTACTGAAATGAAAACCTTAAGAATGATAACTGGATACACATTGAGGGACAGACAGAGAAATGTAGACATAAGAGAAAAGTGCCAAACAAACGACGTTGTCAGATGGATAAGGCAGAGAAGAAGAGAATGGAACCAGCATGTCAATAGAATGGGCCCCGACAGAATGGTCATAATAATTCGTAACAACGTACCCCATGGCAGAAGACCTACTGGACAACCACCTAAACGTTGGCAAGACAGTTGGCAGTCAACCTCGCAAGAGTTGCTTAGACAAGGAGGAAACCGGAACTAAACAGGCGATACGCCTTCTAAAAGAAAAAAAAAGAAGAAGAAGACTAAGTTGAAATTTAAAATACGATTTTTTTACCCGAAATATCAAAAGTTGACATAATATATTATTTTATTCAAAGTCTCATTTTTCATCGAATAAAGTAAAAAAATACTGAGGATGGTATATAAAAATAAAAAGTTAGTAGTCATGTCCAGTGACACAGTAAATGGCCGGAAACTATTGAATACGTCAATAAATCCTGATCTATATCAAACTAACGTACCGGATCTCGTTTTTTATCTGAAAAACTAAAAAAGGTGTTAATAAAATGTTGAACACAGGTGTCATAGGTACATCATATTATTTTCATAATCTAGTTATCACGTAATACATTCTTTAGTGCTGTTTAATTTAACCCTCAATAATTGGCGTGATGAATTTTTATACCGCTTATGGTGTGCATCGGAGTTATGGTTACTCTTCGAAGAAAAATCAATGTCTCGATGATCTTCATCTCACTTAAGCCTCTTTAATTTCATCAAACCACTCAATTAATGCTTCCCAGTGAGGCACACTTTTTAGACTACCCACCATCCTAATAATGAAACACTCTTGGCGTGGTAGTGTCACAGACCCCAATGAAACTTTAGCCCCCGCTGGTAGGAAGCATACTTGATAAAATCTAGTGCGCCTTTAACAGTTGCATATTGGTACCCTAACTTAAAGATAAAAGGCGCGGCGATGCGTAATTCTTAAACGTAAACACTTTACAGAGGTTTAAATATTGATTGGGGTCTAGTAGACCCCACCACGCCCGTTGAGGGCTAACTTAAAACACAAAAATCATTTATAAATAAAGAATAAGACACATAAAAGAATACAAACTGTATAATAAAATTTCTGAAGATTACGTTTTGCTATGTAATTTTCGTTGTTTTGGCTGAGGTGCAATATAAGTGCTCAATAAAAACGTGTGGGGAAAAAATAAAGAAAAAAATAGGCTGACATAATAGCCGCGACTATATCCTCTTCTCCGTTTCGTTTCCTCATATTTGCGCGCCATAAATAACAGCAGGCCGTGAAAAGGTACTAAAATATAATTGGATGATGATGGAAGGCTTTTCAGGAAATAGTAACAACTTTTTTTTTCGTATTTAGCTTCGTTAGCGAAATTTTGTTAAAGCACATTACTGCATGTAACAAAGTTTCTCAAAAATATATAATTTTTTTTTTGTATTTTATTAATGTTAAATTTAATATAACACAATAGTCCAAGAAAATAGGCTTTTAAATAGAAAGTTTTGGTAAAAACTTGAATTTTTAAGATAAGTTACTTTGAAAGATCTAAAAATTATTTGGTGATTTTTTTTTAAATTCACCCCCGCAAGAAGGGCTGAAATAAATAAATATTTTTTTTTCGAAATTTCGGAAAAACGGTAAGTAAGAAAAAAAGTTCAAATAAAAGTTGTAGTGTCCAATTTTACGTAAAAATGGTCTCTCTATGTTTTTTGCTCAAATCAAAATTAACCGAGATAGGGTGGCTAGAAGCTAGGGTGGTTTTACAGCAACACTAGAAAAAATCTTCCGTCAGCTGGATTGGACCAACAAGATTAAAATAGATGGAGAATATCTTAATCGTCTTCTAAGATTCGCTGATGACATAGTCCTAATTGTCAATAATCCTAAAGAACTACAAGCACAAATTATTTACTTACTGCCATTACTCGCTGACGAGTATTTGACACGCATCAGAAGATGGTTACGCAAGGTGTTTCCTTTCATGAGCTTTTCTGTGACTGAAAAGCCCGATAAGTGATGTTATCTCTCTTCCGCGCTCCGGACATTCAAAAATCTCATTACTTTGTTGCCTCTTTACTTCTTGGTTGCCATTGTTAACTGAGTTTACAATTCTCCTCCATTGCGTTCCATTGTGCTTCCTCCCACTGATGCTTGTGCTTCCTCCCACTGATGCTGCATACTTATCTCCTTTAAGTTTTCATGGAAAATACCTTTGTATCTTTTGAGTTGTCCACCCGGTTTCCTCTTACCCTCTACAACCTCACCGTAAAGAAGAGATTTCGGTTGGCGGTTTTCTTGCATTCTGCATACGTGGCCAGCACATCTTAAGCGGGATTTAGTAATCATGACTTCAGCGCTCTCGCAGCTTGCTTTTTCAAGGACTGATACGTTTGAGACATGGTGGTACCATTTAATGCTTGACAGTTGTCTAAGGTGTCTTTATTGCAATTTATTTAATACGCTCGTGTGTCGGCGGTACGGTACCCAGGTTTCGCTTCCATATAACATGGTGGGGATTATTATTGCTTGGTACACTGCAAGTTTCGTTTTTGTGGTCAAGTCATGATTGTAGAAAACCCTGTCTTTTAATTTCCAGAATGCTCTTGATGCGCTGCTAATTCTGTCGATATTGGCTTTTTTCGAAATCAAACCGCCGATGCCGAGATAATTGAATTCCGCTACGTATCCCAATAGTTCTTCTCCGATTTTTATAGCACTGTTATGATTTTTCGGGGGAGTTTACATTATTTTAGTTTTATCAATGTTCAGCTTAAGGCCCAAAGTCTCGTATGCCCAGGTATATATGTTGTTTTTTATGTTGAACAGACTGCCGTCATACCTGTATCTGACACCCATTCCTTTTTCCTGCAGTTTGCTGTCCACTATAATAGAGAGAGCTACCATGAATATGTTGAATATGAGGAGCTAGGACACATCAATGTCTAACTCGGCACAAATTAATGAACTAAATAAAGCCAGCAATAAAGTGGGTCTCAAAATGAATTTAGCTAAACTAAAATAATGTACGTCGAACTAGTGGAGGGAAAAGACATTCTAATAAATAACACAACATTAGAAGTAGTAGAACAATATAAGAACAATATATATATATATATATATATATATATATATATATATATATATATATATATATATATATATATATATATATATATATATATATATATATATATATATATATTTGAGACAACTAATACACAACCCAATCTCTACTATCAGAAACCAAAAGAAGAATTAAGTTAGCATGGAGTACTCGGTAGAATGTGTCGGTAGAATGTATAAATATCTTTCATATATGGAAGAGATGAATTCAATCATATTTAAATCTAGAATGCTACTCTATCTAAAGAAGAAAACATTCGACCTATGCATGCGAAACATGGACACTTAAAATGGACTTCATATGGAAACTGCATGTCGCACAACACTCAATGGAACAAAAGATGCTGGGAATAACCAAGAAAGACCTTAAAATAATAGAGTGGATACGAAAACAGACTCCGAAAAGGTAATAGATGTCATCCACAGAGTCAAATCGCTTATTCAGCAATGGGAAAGAGACCTGGCAAGAAGAACGGCAACAGATGGACGACAAAAATAACAATATGGCAGGTACCCAGAGAGGAATTAAGAGACCTAGAAGAAGACCAACCCTGAGATGGGACCACGATATTAGGAAATTAGCAGGGATAACTTCGGCCCGCATAGCCAACAATAGACAAAAATGGGCCTAACTACAAAGAGACTATGTGAAGGAGGCTACATCTTTGTTGGAAATGGTTGAATAGTGAGTAGGCTGAAAATGATGTTGATGATGATTTTTGATCAGAATTTATCTCAGAAAATTCAAATGAACAACGAATATACGATAAACGAATAAAAAAATAAGAGAATATATACTGGCATCGATACGATAACAAAAACTATACAGGATGAGTCTTAAATATGTGCAAATATTTTAGGGTTAGTATTTCGACTCCAGAAACACGTCTATGAGATTTTTTTCTAAAAAAAATGAA